TATCTTTAATACTGTCTTCTATATCACATGCGTAGGAACATGAAGGGTAAATGTTGAACAGATATCTTTTGGATGATTTTGTTGCTTATTTACAGGTATGAGTGCATGACGCTCCAAATGCTACCCTACACAACATGCAACAGTTGTGTGTGAAGAGCAACATTGCACAAAAATGTTTCAAAATACCACAGATTTTTCAGCGATAAAAAGACAAAATACCTCAGCTCCCACTCTTTAGATTTGTAAAACCTATTCCCATACGCCCAGAAATACGAGACCAGGATCTTCACATCCACAGCAGAAGGCATAACCATCACTATATCACAGACCAGGAACGTCACAAGAATTGATAGAAATTTAAAGAGACAGTCCAATAACTTAAGATTCCAAACAAATCATATTTGAAACCGATAATCTTGAAGAAATGTGTACAGAAAATAGAGGTACGAACTTTCTTACTTTAATATGATGCTAGTCTTAGTTTTCAATTTTGGGAACATTGGGAAGCATAAAGAATTGATTAACAATATGAATAAGTTTTTAATGCCTTGTCCTCAATCATGTAGGTACGTCTGGGATGAAGGGAAGGAAAAGGTGTTCTTCGGAAGCATCTGAGAAGTTTCTATTATTATTTACAGAACTTTAAACAATTAGGAGGCAAAAGCAGTGCATAGATAAAAAGGCATAAGATAATTACGAAAGCTATGCATTATGAAAAACATTAGTAATATCCCAGTTTCACGAAATACACATTAAATATAATAGATATTTTGAAACCTAAGAGATGTCTAAAATAGTTTCTTATATATGATTACCAAAAACATGACATTACAAAAAGAAAGAAAGAAAAAAAACATGAAATCTCCCAAAAGACCGAATTTCACGCGCATTTCTCTTCTCACCGACTTATAAAGACCTTGCTCTCCGACATGTTTACATGAAAACGGTGGTGATAGAATATTGAGTACTACAGTTTTTACTGAAATTTATTGTCGCGCCGTCTGGCAGCGGAGAGTGTCGTCTTCGGTACGGACTCGGTGGATTATGTTTAATCTAAATACGGTATTACGAGTTAAGGACGCTACAGAAGACGCCCAGTAAGTAATGTAAAAAATACCAAAACTCACACGTATCGAGGATGGAAGGAGGGCTCGTGACCCCGTCGGCGCAGGAGTATTGGTGGCAGCCAAGGGTCCATCTCGTCCCGTCCCGGTGCAGGAGGCCGTCCGCCTCACAGCCTGCGAAGGAAGCACGTCAGCGCTTGGTATCAGGGGCGGAGCGACCAACGCCTGGGTTAGCTTAGGGTCCTAATGATTAACGCTGAGCCTACATATTTTATAAATATACAATTTTATTCACACAAACGTATGTACATACATACATATATATAGACTTATATATATATA